ATTTTCAAAATTGAACTTGTGAAAAGATATTTGTATTCAAAGATATGAATCGTCAGAACGAATCCCACGTTGGTAACAGCCTATGAAGATCTATGAAGTAACTCCTCATTTGATGTTGATTAGTTAAGCTTCGCTAATCTTCGAAGACGTTTCTAAAGATCTGGACTACATTCAACAATTTGAACTCACGAGAAAATTCAAAAAGTAAATAATTGAGTAAACATTTTAGGATTATTGAAACTTGGTGACTGATTAGATGGTTAGTTTTAATTTTAAATAATCACAAATTGTATCTTTAAGCCCATAACGTTCATGTAGACTTAAAACTTGCCCACATTATAAATATTTTATTCATATAAACTTCGATCTCTATTTACTTACGTAGAATAAGACACCGGAATATATTTTTATAAATATTGACATTATAAATGCGGAACACAGATGTCAGTTTTGAGAGAAATGTTTTGTTAATATGTATTATATGTAGATGAGTCTATTATGTTCATTGTTGGAACATAATATACATAATTTTTCATATATTGGAACTATTATATCGAAGGACTTATTTCATAATTTCCATAATATTGTGCTCCACGTGTAACTAACTACTGACAAAAGGTATTATTTTACCATCTAGATTGTTTATCATCTTAATTACATGAGAAGAAACGCGAAGGAATATGTTAACATATGGAATTAACACAAGTTTTAACAACGTTTTGTTATATTTCTTAGCATCCTTATGAGCATGCGTTACAGCGCACCATATTCTTATATCAATTTATAATAAATTTTCAAATTTCTGTCTGAATAAGTCAACATACTTATTTTTGGATAAGTCCTTCTAGTTAATAGAAGAATAAGTCTTTCTAGTTAATTAATGAGAGTGACATAAATTTAATCAAAAGAAACGTATACATCCAAGGATTGCGTTAATTCTCAAAAATATCCGCGGCATCTAAACTAACACAAATTACCTACGATAAAACTGGTGAACCAATAAAACTCGTTATTTCAAATCGGTTGAGCATCCGCAAAATGAAGCAAATTATTTTGTAACTTTTTTATTTCCCATTGTGTTCCAACAATAGACGAACACTGCAATAGTGAATATCACAAGTGTTTTTTGTGTGTTATACAAAACGTGTTGCAATTACCTACATACATACATGTATCATATAATATTATGTGATAATTAATAAAAAATATGGAGACTGATGAATGTGGCTTTTTATTTTTAGCTATTTTGTATGACTACTGATTTTTTGTTAGCTTCGTAGTTAGGCGACTGTGCGGCGCACCCGATGATTAGTGATTAGTGGCCCTCAAGAACATTACCAATACCAGGGGCGTTCTACAGATTTTTTATTTTATTTTTCATAACTTAAATGGGTGGACGAGCTCACACACCTGGTGTTAAGTGGTTACTGGAGCCCATAGACATCTACAACGTAAATGCGCCACCCACCTTGAGATATTAGTTCTAAGATCTCAGTATAGTTACAAAGGCTGCCCCATCCTTCAAGCCGAAACGCATTACTGCTTCATGGCAGAAATAGGCAGGGCGGTGGTACCTATCCGCGCGGACTCACAAGAGGTCCTACCACCAGTAAAACTGTACTGTACTATATATAACTAAGTATACGCTGCTATACTATATGCCACTATAGTATAGCTTAGTCTAAAAGCAGCTTTAAGAATTTTTCGCACTCCAGTTCAGTTTAGTACAAAATGCGACAATTCACCAGCGGAAATCTAAATCGATTACTATTTATTATGGTGATTTGTTATTTTGTATCGTGTTAGTTATTCCAAAACCCTCGGTAAACAATGATAGCAAATAACTCGCACCGAAATCTATCGCCTGTTGCTTTAACACTTCCCTTATATCTGATATTAACTATGAGTTATTTCAAAAACTTTCTGAATACTTGTCCGATCTCCTATCGCGTGGAGCATCCATGCTATTCTATATGAATGTAACATTAATAGCACACGTTATGCACCCATTCAACTCCGATAAACTTTTAACGCACTTGCATTTGAGTCTTTGTACTGAAAACAGCACGCAAAATTTATTAATTAATTTAATGTCAGGTAAGTATATGTATTATTATGGAAAAACATTTAATTTTGAAATATTCCACTTGGATAGCGTTAAAATAAATGACAAAGCTAACATTATTAGCACTATATTAATTATTTATGCAGTGTATTAATAGAATTACTGCCATCTGTGCCTAAATACAAGTTCATTAACTCTTTATGAAGTCATATATAAAGAAATATGTCGGTTTCTGTTGCCGATATAATTACTATCCAAATTTCGTCCAAAAATGTTTTAAATTAATATAATATTTAAACATTTTCTTCGATGTTCGCGAGCGCGAGTAGAGTAATTGTATGATTAAGAGTCGTGTGCTTATTAATTTCTTTTGTTGAAACGTTTAGAATAATTGACAGCGTTCCGTGGTGACGGAGGACTAAGTTGTCATTCGTCAATATTCGAATGTTGCGCTAACTATTGTCTATTTGTAATACCGAACCTTAAAACCGTACAGTGAGCAGTTCCGAATAATTAAAACAGATTCGAACCATTGGAAATAATAAAATAAACATGCGATAATAAACATTAGATTAAACCGTAAATGCAGTTTTAATTACGAAGTTGCAGCAAGAATGGTGGTTAGATAAGGCCCATCTATCTTTTTTTTTTTCGGGCTAGGTGCCGATCCTCCTACGAGGTCCCCGCGCCTAAGGGGCGCGCGGTATGTGGGACTTGACGATCTGCAAGGTGTTGGGCCCCTAGGAATTTTAGGGCCCACCCACTAAACGACTCCCCTGCACTCTTACACCCGACGTCCGATCTCCGTCCGGGGTCAAAACGCGGTCAGAGTAGGGGGGTTCCCGCGGTCAACACCAGACACGCGGCGCCACCCCCAGGACGCCCGACCGACGGGTCGTCGAGGCGATAGTCGACGACCAACGACGTCGGTCCGGCGGCCCTACCAGGCCGCCCGGGCGGCTGGTGTTCCGGGATACCCCGCTGGGCCAGAACCAGCCTGTCGGGTCGGAACGCGATACACCGCCGGGTTGCTCTCCCACAGTATGTTCGGCGACGACAGCGCCGACGAAAATGCGGACCGCATCGTAGTCCGCACCCGCCGACGCGCCGTCCCGTCCTCCTGGTGCCAGCGCACTAGAGTGACGGTAGCGTACGGTGCAGCCTCAACCCCCTTAGGTCGCCCCGTGACCATCACCGGGAGGAAGCTGCCTCCTCATAGGGGCTGGAGCTGGACAAACGCCCTCCTCCGAACCCCGGCTCGACGGCGGCGGCACGGCGCCGAGAGGGAAGAAGAGCTCTCCCTCTCCCGTTCCGCCGCCTCCTTCTGCGAGATGGTGGACTCGCAGAAGTCTCATCATCAAGCATCGCCTGCCAGGACTCGTCGCTGCCGAGCATCGTAGCCACGACGGTCGGAAGCGACAAGTCCGGTCCTATTTTTGCAACGAGTACACGGCGCTGCTCCGCGAAAGCGGGGCAGTAAGCGAGCGTGTGCTCCGCCGTGTCCTCGTTGCAGCCACTGCAGTGGTGGCACTTCGGCGTCGGCTCCCTCCGGGCNGAAGTCTCATCATCAAGCATCGCCTGCCAGGACTCGTCGCTGCCGAGCATCGTAGCCACGACGGTCGGAAGCGACAAGTCCGGTCCTATTTTTGCAACGAGTACACGGCGCTGCTCCGCGAAAGCGGGGCAGTAAGCGAGCGTGTGCTCCGCCGTGTCCTCGTTGCAGCCACTGCAGTGGTGGCACTTCGGCGTCGGCTCCCTCCGGGCAACGAGGTGCAGGTAGCGACCGAAACAGCCGTGTCCCGTGAGCACCTGCATCGCTCGGAAGGTGAGACGTCCTCGGTTGCGATTCACCCAGTCCGAGAGGACCGGGCGGATCGCCTCGACGGTCCGTCGCCCGTAGGCAGGGTCCGTCAGGCGGCGAGACCACGCCTCGAGCACGGCACGCCGAGATTGAAGCTTCCGCGTTCGAACTTCCGCCGCGCCAGGACGCGGCTCCCCTCTGGAGCGGAGATCGCATCGCCACGCGTAATCGTAAAAAACGACCGTCCAGTACGAAACCGAGGCATCGCAACCCGGTCGCCTCGATCTCGACGCGAACGCCTCCGATCACGAGGTAGGCCCACTGAGGCGGCGCTCTCCGGGCAAACGTACGCAAAAGTTCCAATTCCATACAAATTTGAGTTAACTTTTACATTATAGAGAACGTAAAAAAACTCGCGCTAAGCACTCCGGAGACTTGTATATTCGGTTGTTGTTAATGACTACAATGTCTTTTATAAATCTATCCGACATATTTTGTCTTTCAATCTATCTTGCACACGGAGACGCAGTCCGTTCTAGAATAACTTAGTCATCCGTGACCATGAAACTTGTAATGCATTCGAATCGTCGGAAAAAGAAAAAAGAAAATAATGGACGTAATATTAAACAGTAAGATGAATTTTATTCGATTGTAAATTATGAACGCGAATCCGTATGAACGTCGAAAAATAGAACAATTACGAAACTAAAATTCTTAATTACAGATTAAATTAAAACTCCTTGGACTTATCAAGAAATTAGAAACATCATTTGAATTAGTTAATTAGAAAATAAATGGAGCACGACATTTCAGTGACATTGCTATAAATATATATATCGACACTTGAAAGGCAAAAGTGACTAAGCGACAATAACTGATTTGTACATAAATGATAGGCAATAAACCATATTCGATGCGCAAAAATATATATTTCTAGGTCTATTAAAATAATTTCAATCCTACAGCTACTAGCTAGATTCTACTACAGGTGGATTTGTTAAAATAAATTTTGTTTTCAGGTATTTCAACTTTAAATTGGTCTACTGTAAAGTTCATGCATTGTCGCTTAGTCACGTTTGCCTTTCAAGCGTCGATATATATGCATACATATATAAATCGTGGTATTTACGTTACCGGTTATGATAAGACTGGGTCTGGTGATGCTGTTCCTAATACCTGGAACAGAACAGAATGTAATCAGTATAGCTCAGGGGAAGATACGGGGACGCGTCAGAGATGGTTACGTGACGTATGGCGGTATACCTTATGGATAGGGATGGACGTTTAAAATATACATCGATGTTTTTTTCGATGTGATGCATCGATCGGTCACATCGATGGTAATACGATGTATTGGGAAATACATCGATGTTTCTTATATATCGATTGTTTTAGGTTAGGCATTAATTAAAACAAAAATATGTATTAATCAGGAAATATATGTATTAAAATTAAAAATCACCGAGACAACACATTTTTTTTACATATTCCAATATTTTTTGTCAATGCTATGTAAAAACAAAAGTTTGCTTAATCTCTTCCCCTTCAGCCGGTTTCTTTGTTCAGTCATAACTAGCCCTGCCTGTGAAAAAAGTCTTTCTGAAGGGACTGACGTGCCAACTATTGTTAAATACTTAAAAGCTATTTTGTACAGCTTCGGGAATTGTATTTTGTAATCTCTCCAAATTTCTAACGGATTTTCTTTAAGTCTTCCAACAGGAGTTCGGAGATAAACGGAAAGTTCGTCAGACAAAACGTCTTCAGATTTGTTAATTTTCCAGTTACGATGCACTAACTTATGGTGATCAGTCCATAATGAAAAGGCCTCTTCATTTTTATCGGACTTGTCAGAATCGGACTCAGGTTCTTCATTGCTATGCAAATTCTTCTTCATTAAATCTTTAATTTTCGTAACAGCATTCGAACAAGCTATCGGATCATTGAAATGCATTCTTTTAAACCGTGGATCTAAAATACTTGCGATAGCCAGAGCATTCACATGTTCTATTGAACCCATTCTTTTATTTATTTCATTAATAGCAAGTTTCTGCACCTCTTTCGCTACGGGATCTTCTATAACAGCTGAAGTTATTTTAGAGAGCATGCAACGAACTAAGGGAATAATTTTACTACTTGTGCAGTATTTATCACCTGAAATTTCTTTTGTAGCCGCTTCTAAGGGTCGCAATACCATGATGACAGACGATACAGTAGATATTTCCGATGCACTCAGCATTGCAGGTGCTCTAGGGTGGCGGAAGAGAATATCATTTATGACACTACGGAGTTCTAGAAATCTTTGTAACATATAATATGTACTGTTCCAGCGAGTATCCACGCTTTGTATTAATTTTACCTCAGCTGCTCCAGCAGAAGACTCCGTAGCCGCAGCAGTAGCTTTACGTAATTCATCACTAGCAATGCAACTCTGTTTAAACCAAGTCACTATTGATTTTACTTTAGAAACAATGTTTCTCCACTCAATACATATCATTGTGCCTTCAGCCACCAAATTCAGAGTATGGGCAAAACATGGGATGTGTTTCCTTCTACCAAACGCTAATTCGATCGCCTTAACTATATTGGCTGCGTTGTCAGTAACAACAGCTGTTACATTCTCTTGATCGATTTTCCAGTCTTGACATACCTTTAAGAGAATTTCAGAAAGATAATCTGATGTATGTCTTTCATCCAATTCGTACACACCTAAGGTGACTGAATATAGTTCAATGTCTATTCCGAAATGTGCTGTGATGCCCAAAAAACTTTTCATATTCAAGGTATCCGACCAAATATCTGTTGTTAGGGTTATATCTTCTATAGAGGACAACATTTTCTTAATTGTTTCTGAAATTACTTCATATTTATCGTCCAGCCAGCGTCTTAGAGTTGTTCTACTCGGGAGCTTATATTGAGGAGCAACTGTTTTCATTAGAGTTTTGAAGCCTTCGTTTTCAACGATTGAGAATGGCTGATGGTCTTTGCAAATCATGAATAACAAACAGTTGTTCAGTTTCCTTGTCTTCGCTCCAGATTCTGAGTAAGAGGAAATATCTTTAAAAGCGGCCTGTATTGTTCTTTGGCGTTTTAAAGGTGTAACGTTTTCGTCTAAGTCTGAATCAATGGTTTCATTTACGGTTTTTGGTAACGGTGCACCGGATCTTTGACTGCCACTGCAACTTGGAACAGGTTGAAACTGAAGTACTCCATCATCCATTTTATTATAAGGCGTAACTTTGGTATCCAGATCCAGAGGATTCGATATTTCGTCTGTAGTAGTTACTGCATTGAATGTAGTTTGTTTCGGCTGAATTTCGAGATAAGCAGCCTTATGAACATTACGAATATGTCCAATTAAGTTCGTAGTGTTTCCAGCAGACTTAATTTCCTTTTGACATAGTTTGCATTTCGTTTTCTTATCGTCAATTTTGTTAAAGAACTGCCAAACGGAACTTTTTTTCTTAGGTCCCATTATAACTGAAAGTAAAAAACAAAACTATATAGGACTGTTTACAGGGAATTTATAATAATACCTATTAACTGCCTAGTAGAATACAAATAAGTATAAGCCGCATTTTAATCGATAATATTAATATAGTAATTATCGATAACTTGGCATCACTACAATAGATAGTATTATTATTTCACGGTAAAAAATATAACCTTTCAATCAAATCGTATCATATTGCGAAATTAATGCATTCGTCGTAAAGTAGGTACATAATCTTCTCTTTTATATCTTAGTTATAAGCACGCGCAATATAAAACGTAAAATATAATAATTGCTTTGTACTTTTTGACAACAAAACAATGTGTCATTTCCAGTAAAGTTTCACTAGCAAAACCATTATCATTATCACTAAATACATTATTCTATTTATTAATACACATACCTGACATACCTGTTCATAAATTAGTTTCTTTTTTAGATTTAAACAAGGCAAAAACTCGTATCGTAACAAAAACACAATATACATTTACACAGCAGAAACTCGGTCGGCCATATTGTTGTTTTGGTTTAATTAATATTGGCAGCACTGATTATAACGTTTCGTTTCTCTTTNCCAGATTTGAATCCGTTAGATTACAAGATATGGCAACACTTGGAGGAAAAGGCGTGCTCAAAGCCTCATCCCAATTTGGAGTCACTCAAGACATCCTTGATTAAGGCAGCCGCCGATATTGACATGGACCTCGTTCGTGCTGCGATAGACGACTGGCCGCGCAGATTGAAGGCCTGTATTGAAAATCACGGAGGTCATTTTGAATAAACTTTAGTGTCATAAGAATCTATGTTTCGTTAAGTTCATTTTGGTATATGAATGGTTACATAATGAATAAACTTGTTTCAATTATTTTACGTTAAACATGTGACAGTATTTATGACCCCCAACCATACCATGAGCGAGGATGGAAAATGACCTCGTTGGACACGCGGAATACGGTTGCTCGCTTCTTCACTACTGTGTGCGTACTTATCATTTTGTTTGTTGTAGCTCTCTTCTACGGTAAAAAGTTTTTCATCCGAAAAAAGAATTTCCCGATATTTTTTTCCCGCGTACCGCTTCAACAAAGCGCGGCATCTCTTCAGTCTCAGGTCCATTAGACGAGCATTCAAACGATGTCCTGTTTTTCTTCGATATGCCCGAAGCCCTAAGTCTTCATTTAACACCCTTTTCATCGTGGTTCTGCTTAACCCCATCCGAAGGGCCAACTGTTTCTGCTTACGTTTGCTTCATTTAACACCCTTTTCATCGTGGTTCTGCTTAACCCCATCCGAAGGGCCAACTGTTTCTGCTTACGTTTGGGATTTCTTTGAATTCGCGCCTTCACAGCTTTTATCACTGCTGGAGGACTCCAGACTAACAGACTAGGACTAGGACTAGACTAACAGACCGAGGGCGACCACTTCTTGACCTGTCATCTACACTAGAGTCTTCATTGTATCGTTTGATGGTACGATAAACGAATCTTTTGGTTATATTCAAAATTTTCAGTATGTTAAAAATTTGAATTGGCGCGTAACCGCAACGATGCAACGCAATAACTGCAACACGGTCTTCTTTAAGCGTCCACTCCATATTTAAAANCCAGCTGGGTTAAGGGCCTAATACAGAAAGCAGTTATCCTCGATACTGCACGCATTGTGAGGAGGTTTCTCACTCTGGAGTCCTAACCACTGGTGGCTTGTGTCGTAGACACCGCCATCAGCGGCAATCTATTTTTATATAGTGTTTTTTAAAAATTGTATTTTTAATATCTTTTTTAAAAAATATTATGTAATTAATAAGATTTTAAATAAATATAAATAAATAATAATAATATTACACATTATTTAACACCATATGTACAGAGTAAGCATATAAAACAAATAATAATCGGTGACATAAATTGGCGGCCTTATCGCTAAAAGCGATCTCTTCCAGGTAACTTTGCAGGGAGAGGAATAAGCGAACTGGACGGTGCTATATCTTAATAAACTTACATAAAAATATATACTGATATAGGGACAGAGAAAGCGACTTTGTTTTATACTATGTAGTGATTTGTTACCCTTTTAGGAAGACATATATACGGCCTACCTCATGCCTACAAACATGTCAAATTGTCTTAGTTACATCTGTTGACATTATTTTTTCCTGTCGCGCAGGCGGTCAGCTGGCGTGCCTCCGCAGTAGTAGCGTGGTGTCGTCGTTCCGCGCTCGCTTCCAGAGCGGCAAGACCGACCCGCAGCTGCAGGCGCTCGTCGACAGGCTCGTGCAGGACGCGCTCAACTCCATCTCCACCAGGCTCTACGACAACTACCAGTACCACACCAACGGGATACTGTGAGCGTCGCCACCCGCCAGCTCAACCATACGAACTAGAGATGAAACGGATATCCGGTAACTATCCGGTATCCGGCCAGGTTTTCACTATCCAGCCGGATAGCGTATAATAAATCAGTATCCGACCGGATTTCGAATAGCAAAATTGAAGAAAATCTCTTGGTTATACAAAAGGCTAATAATACCACAATAGGCTATGGACAACTTTTATTTTTATAATCGCACGTCAAAAGTGATTGTTTTATTGTTATAATTAGTTTGTTTAATACTCAAAATTAACAAGTGGCAAATTGTGGTGAATGAATACCAAATCGTCGTCGTACCGAGTCGTCGCGATCTCCGCTCACGTGCGACAACACCCGAACGCGCACGAATATTTCCGAAAGGGCCGAACATCCGACGCTCCGGCCTCGCAGTTTGCCGAATATTCGATATCCGGTATCCGGCCAAACCACTATCCGTTTCATCTCTAATACGAACCATACCGAACTGAATATCCAACGATCGCGTGTGATGACTAGAGATGGGATAATTCGATAAAATTATAATGTAAATCGTTTATTCTCGCACCGCGCTGCTGCCCCGGGACTTTTTTGGGTTGAACAGGTAGTTTAAAGAGTAATGGGGGATTCCCGTATAATAATACTCCTAAACAAAATTGTTGTAAAGGTATCATAAGGCGCAACAAATTCATTGATAGTAAATTTCCCTGAAGTTAACGGCTAATGCTAAGGATCAAATTATGCGTGGTAAAGTTCGTGTGCTTCCTTTAGTTCGGTTCGATTTTGTTCTATGAACGTAACGTATTTTGCACAAACAATAAATACAAAAAACTCATGCAAGTAAGTATATTTGTGAGTTTAACATCAAACGAAGGAATAGCGTTGTAACCGGTGAATATGTTATTTAAAAGCGCCATTTAACGCAAAAAAAGTTTAGGGGAAAATATAGGCACTATTTTATTTTTAATTGCCACATTCAATCTAAATGAAACATTTCCAACATGAGATTTTCTTTGTTATCACCAATAGTGCAATGCATGAGATTAGCATCAAGAACAAAAAAAATTAGTATTTGAATTAGTTTTAGTTTAAGCGGCTTCGGGTTCCTTGGTCGTTGTCATTTCATAAATCATCATTTAAAACCTCCTTCACCTCACTCGAACTACCTTCTCTATAACTTTAATAATTAATATTCATTTAAATCTTAAACATATAATATTGTATTCATAATATTAATTTCTGTTTTAAAAAATATATATGTGTATCATGCTGAGTAATAATTTAGAAAAAAAAAAAACAGACACTCCGAAATTCGCTTGTAAATGCATGCTTTTAGCGTTTTAAAGATTAGTGCCATAAACAATAATGCTTTATCGTTTTTACTTTAACCTCTGTATACTTTGCTCAACATTCATTGGTCACATTGTAATATCTGAACGCATTGAGCGTGTTCTATATAAGAACACCAGCCACTTGATCACTTCGGATAGAATGATGAAATGTAGAAAATTCCAAAATATTGTGTAAATATAAATATAAAATATGTATTATGATAATTTTCGCAATGAGAAGACTGATTGTTCAGGCATGAAGTGTTAGGTTTAGGTTCTTAACACATTAAGTTTTATCCTGTATATTGAAATTCTTTGTGTGCCTGTGGTGTGCGCGAGTGGAATGCATTAACTGCAAATTAAACTGCATTAAATGAAATGAATTTTAGCGAAAACGTGTCGTGTGTGTGTCAATGTGGATATTTTATACACCACTATATTTTTATTATCGAAGAACGAGGTCTCTGTCAATGTCGGGTGGTTAATGTGTTGCCAGAATCAATACAGGGTTATTGAAATGTTGAAAGTAAAAAAAAAATGGAGTCATCGTAGTGGACCGTACTCTTCGAAAACAATAGTTATATTGTAGGTTTGTATGTATGTAATCAAGAATTGTAAAATAGTCTTTACGTCCTTTTAATGAAACAAAATCCATACACTTTCACTATCACATAAAGATATATTTTTATTTTAAAAAAAATAGTGGTGTATTCTTATCCGTGCGCTAGCTAGGAACTTGTTTGTTCCCCTGAATGTGGTGTACATTAAAATAATTTTATAAAGGTTTAAATTTACGGATATGAAAGTAAATTTTTGGTGTTGCCAATTAATTCGTTGTAAGGTGGAACGAGGGTTGCCCCACTATGTAATCATTTATTGTTTGTATAATAAATGCGTTTACAATTTTGATAATGTTAAATAAATATGTAATGAAAACGATTAAATATTTTAATTGAACCTTTTGTAAATAATCTTTGGCTCTTTATTGTATAACCAACATTTTAAAGATGCCAAATAATATGATTTTTTTAATAATTGTTATTATTGCATACATAAAATTTATCTATTCTCTTTGCTGAAGTTTAATAACAATTTGCTGTTATATATTCATATATTTGTTGCGATAACACGCTTGTGTGTGACGAAGCATCAATGCTTTGATTTGGATTAAAAACTGAAAAGAAATCCTAATGCGTTTGTAACTTGAACATATCGATTCTTTAGTAACAGCAACGCGTTTTAAAATATTCAATTATAGCTATATGTATATTGAAGTTATTATTGTCAAATTTGTTTTGTACTAAAGACTGCTGAATACTAGATAATCGATTTTTAAAAGAGCGCGTTATCATAACATTTTGAATTAATTGTTATGAAATTCATGTACGTTTTGAAGTAAATTAAAGATAAATATGAAGTATCTAAAAATTGTAACGTGACCATATTTAGTCGATTCGGGTAATAAATAATAATAATAATAATCTTTGAATGTTCGTCATTACAGATAAGTAAATTATTCTGTTTAAAAATTGTAATAACATTGAAATGTCCAAATAGGTCAAAATTTAATAAATTAATTTATCAACGTGTACAGATAATTGTAAGTAGGTACGTACTTGTAACATTAATCTTATTTTTTTTAAATATACATAATCATGGTTTTTATTGAGATTTTTATTTCTGCCCGAAATCGTCCCTGCTGATTGTCAATATTTGCACGTAGAAATTTTAGGCAGGTTGCAAATTATTTGGTATTGAACTATCCAACGGGTCCTTAGAACCGTAGTTCTGACAAAATGTACAGACAAAGTACTACTTTGTGAAATATAAATGACATTTCGTTAGCTTATTGCAGTAAGAAGTATATGTGTGTGGACTGCGATTGCCGCGGCGTTTCGTGTCACCATCTTAGTAGTTATAAGCAACTAGTGAAATCTGGTCACTGGCATTAATTGTAAAAGGGGCGCAGATTTCTTAAAGTATTCGCGCGCCACCTATCGTAGGTAGATGACAACTATGACAGAAACCATCTCTGGTCACAATCTGATCAACAGCTTAGTCTTTATTTGTGTAGATAATAAATACGGAAATAAAAAGACCGGATGTCTGTAAAACTTTTCAAGGAGGGAGCACGATTTCATCACTTTTTAAGTTTTCGGGTGACGCATACACAGGCTAGATTCGGTGATTTAAGATTGCATAGGCACGTCTGTTTTGGCCACGTTTAGGTATTTTTTTAATTTTTTAAGAATCGTCTCCTTTTTGTTGTCTCACCTTAACTATCGAAGCAGGACTTATCGTCAGCGAGTTCCCAAATCTGTCTTACCTCGTATCATCAACGTGTTGCGTTCAAAAAGTTTTGTCAGCGAACTGCGACTCATCTGCATGATAGGCGGCTTGGGTCTGTCCCTGGAATTGCTGATGTCCATGAGCGACGGTAACCACTCACTGGGATGTATGCTCGTCTGCCTACAAGGTCAATAAAAAAAATCCGTATGGCAAACGTCTATGACTTATTTTAGCAGAGGGTATCAGTGCCACCTGAGGATCTATAGACCACTCCTCTATTCGTAACGTTAGGCAGTAATCGCTGTATTCGAACAGCTTAATTAAATAGAATGGTAGTTAACATTTTTATTTATATTTTGACATTCAACAAGTGTGTTATGCTGATATCTAAGTTGAAATAAATGATTTTGATTTTGAATTTGAATTTGAAATGAAACGAACAGAAAAGTTATAGAGTCGTAAACGTTTTATTAAAAATAATTCACTTATTTTTTCCTTTTGTTTTTCTTCTTGTTCCCTTTGAACTTGAGTTTCTGTTTAATCTTGTCCTTCCGCATGCGCTCCTTGACGATCTGCTGCTTGTCTCTGAACTCGCGCGACTTGGACTCGGCCGCTTTTTTCGCTACGCGTTCGTTGTGCTTCACCCAGTGCGGACGGAATTCAGATGCTGTCGAATAAATTGCAGAAATTAAAAGTTTATCTTTATATTAATTGGACGGAGAACTATGAATTTTTTTACACTTATCTATACTAATATAATAATATTATAAACAGGAAAGATTTGTTTGTTTGTTTGTATTGAATAGGCTCCGAAACTACTGAACCGATTTGACTTGAAATTTCTTTCACTGTTTGAAAGCTAAACTATTCCCGAGTGACATAGGCTATAATCTTTTTTAAAAAAAATTAGGGCTCCTTACTAAAACTCTAATAATATAACTCAAGGAGTAAAAAATTATCAAAAATATTCATTAGATCGCGTGCCCTGCGAAAACTATTGATGATAGAATAAAATAATAACACATTATTATTTACAATAAGTGTCGCGACAGCATATGTCTAACTATTAAAGTTATGCCGCAATAACTTTTCTTTTATTTAAAAAAATAAAACAACGTCAAATATCGCTGAAATTTTTGTTAGAGATCCGAGCGGAGTCGAAGCTGGCCGCTAGTAGAGAATATAGAGGAGTGCAGGATATTAATATTCAATTTAAATTATGCATAAAAAATACATTACACTACCATGTATTTGACACAACACATACATATAAAGTACACTTTGTTTACTGTAATAATGTTTAAACTTATAATTTTATTTATTTGTAAAAATTGTCGACTTTCAAATCACAAGTGTACCAAAAAGGTTTATTTTAAAAAAAACACCTCCATACCTGGTTTCCTTTTATTGGTTTGTGCTTGCGGTTCGTCGTCGGAGTGGTCGTGCGCGAAGTTGCGTTTCTTCCAGTCGTCGAAGCGGCCGCTGCGGAACGAAGCCGGGACACGGAACCCGCTCTCAGTACGAATCATCTTGCGTCCGCCGTCCTAAAACATAAATAAGTTAAAAATATAAAAATATATATATATAATGAAACTTGATGCATGTGAGAGAAATGAAACTTCTTTTGCGATTTTTTTTTATTGCTCTCTATTGAACTCTACAACGTAAATGCCGCCATCCATCTTGAGATATAAGTTCTAAGGTCTCACGTATACCTAGTCAGGTCATAAATTCTGTCACATGTTTAATGTAAAATAATTGAAACAAGTTTATTCATTATGTAACCATTCATATACCAAAATGAACTTAACAAAACATAGATTAGTTAGACTAAAGTTTATTCAAAATGACCTCCGTGATTTTGAATACAGGCCTTCAATCTGCGCGGCCAGTCGTCTATCGCAGCACGAACGAGGTCCATGTCAATATCGGCGGCTGCCTTAATCAAAGATGTCTTGAGTGACTCCAAATTGGGATGAGGCTTTGAGCACGCCTTCTCCTCCAAGTGTTGCCATATCTTGTAATCTAACGGATTCAAATCTGGACTGGAGGAGGGCCAGTCTTCGTGCCGGATGAAGTCGATTTCACGCGCCGCCAGCCAGTCTTGTGTGCTCTTCGCTCTATGAGCTGGCGCCGAATCTTGTTGGAATACCCAGTGCCTGTTATTGAACATGGTATGAGAAACAGGTTCCACAAGGTTCGTCAGGACTGTATTTTGATACACAACTGCATTCGTTTTTACACCTTTCTCACAAAAATGTACCTCTGTTAAGCCCCAATAAGAAACTCCCAACCATACCATGAGCGAGGATGGAAAATGACCTCGTTGGACACGCGGAATACGGTTGCTCGCTTCTTCACTACTGTGTGCGTACACCTTATCATTTTGTTTGTTGTAGCTCTCTTCTACGATAAAAATTTTTTCATCCGAAAAATGAATTTCCCGATATTTTTTTCCCGCGTACCGCTTCAACAAAGCGCGGCATCTCTTCAGTCTCAGGTCCATTAGACGAGCATTCAAACGATGTCCTGTTTTTCTTCGATATGCCCGAAGCCCTAAGTCTTCATTTAACACCCTTTTCACCGTGGTTCTGCTTAACCCCATCTGAAGGGCCAACTGTTTCTGCTTACGTTTGGGATTTCTTTGAATTCGCGCCTTCACAGCTTTTATCACTGCTGGAGTCCTAACAGACCGAGGGCGACCATTTCTTGACCTGTCATCTACACTAGTCTTCATTGTATCGGTTGATGGTACGATAAACGAATCTTTTGGTTATATTCAAAATTTTCAGTATGTTAAAAATTTGAATTGGCGCGTAACCGCAAAGATGCAACGCAATAACTGCAACACGGTCTTCTTTAAGCGTCCACTCCATATTTAAAAATGAGTACAATTCTAAAAGTATACATTTTTATTTTCATGAACAATTCGAAATACGAATTCAATAAACTTTTTTGTGGCCAGCATTCTAAAAGAAAAGTTTTTACTGTGTGACAATACTTATGACCTAACTAGGTAGTTACAACGGCCGTCCACCCTTCAAACCGAAACGCATTACTGTTTCACGGCAGAAATAGGCGGGGTGGTAGTACCTACTCGTGCGGACTCACAAGAGGTCCAACAACTAGTAAACTTTCAGTGCTGATAAAAGCGCCATTATCATAGGTAGGATTAAACACTATTTAAGAAACTAAGAAATCTCGAAAAGCTAAGCTGTTGATTTTGATTGTGGGGGCGAGATATTAGCTACTTTCACCAAAAACGAATTATAAAGAGGGTAGAAACACATTTGTTAGTTGTAAACATCTACTGGCAGTCTCCAGCGCATGAGGCGCGCAGTACGTACGGGGTCAACGTGCACCATCTTCTTCCGCTTCCTGTCCCAGCGCATGACGTTCCGCTGCGCGCGCTCGGCGTCCCCGCTGTCGGCTCGCAGCTCCAGCTGGGCGTGCTCCGCGCCCGCGCTGAAGTTCACCGCCATGCTGCACACGAAACGCACACAATACAACACTCGTCTATGTACTTCCCTTCATTTTACTTTTATTGAAGATTAGCAAAGACTAGTATTATAATATTCTTGAAAACTCATTTTCAATCATTAAAAACGTTAATTGAATAGATGTTAAATAAAATGTTTACGAGCATAAACAAAGCAGGTTAGAACGTGTCCGCGCGTCGCTGTTTTCGGCTCTCTACGTCGCGATTTTTGTCGCACGTGTCGATAGACCTAAACGATCGAGCGCTACTTCGCTGCTCTGCGAAGTTCGGACGAATACAAAAAATACTAATTTCTCATATTCGGCTATATTTTATTCTAGAAATAATTTTTCACGCAATTTTACACCGTCTTCTAGGAGTGGGTAATATCGGTTTTGCCGCGTATCGAATCGTATCTATATATGGAGTATCAATATCGGATATTGAATCTATATATTTTCTGAATCTATATATTGATGGATGCTAGTAGATTTTATCGATTCATGATATTTGAGATTTGAAACGATACGCTGATATAATATCGTAGTAGATATAGATTTAAGTCAACGTTATACGGTTGGTTTTCTGATATCAATTTATAATATGATTTTAAAGTAATAAAAAGAACATGAAAATAAAAATATCAAAAAACTTTCCTTCATGCTTTTATCAGGCTTAGGACTGGCTACATTATTTTCAGTTTTTAGTATTTTGTGTCTTAATTTAAAATTACAAAATATACCAAAAGAGTGTAGATTTCAAAAGTTTAATACAAACACAAGAAATAAACTCAATTATTTTGATTCAACTAAAAATAGAAAAATGTGTACTTTAAAAATCAAACACAAAAAACTTTTAAGTATTTATAAACACTTGTCCAAAAATTGTAGTTCAAGATCAAAGCGCGTGAAATTAAATTCAACGATGCAAATAGGCTATACTGCATTCAAGTTAGGGTCGAAAGTTGAAACTTCTTTCCTAAATTGTATCCTGCTGATACGCTAAGAATAATCTACAGACATATGGACTTAAATATAAGGTTTACAATTGTATGGATAATGCCTGTTTCTGTTTCATTCATCACATGATATCCCTATCGTGCGCTCNCATATGGACTTAAATATAAGGTTTACAATTGTATGGATAATGCCTGTTTCTGTTTCATTCATCACATGATATCCCTATCGTGCGCTCACTCACTCTGGCCGATTCGATACGAACCAAACGAATATTGCTGATATTCACGAATCGGTACGATATGCCGATGCGCATCACATCGAGCAATATCGTGTATCGGCTGATATCGATACATAGATTTCGATTCACGAATCGGTACGATATGGCGATGCGCATCACATCGAGCAATATCGTGTATCGGCTGATATCGATATATAGATTTCGTGCGGGGCGATATCGGATTCAACGATATTGCTGCGATATATAGATATTGAATCTAGATACGATTTATATCACCCACTCCTACCGTCTTCTGCGAGAAATATAATTACGTGATATTTGCCAAGAACCCCCTCCCCCTTAAGTGAGATTTGGAAAAATTTAGCTTGATCCCTCCCCCCCCTAGAACACCTCACGTAATTAATGGGCGGCCCCTAACTTGTGCGGTCACTTACTTGTAGTCAGCTGGACGTGTTGGGGTCTCCAGGCAACACTTCTAAGGTGTCATTTTAATCACGAACTAGCGTTATCGGATACAATAAACCAAACAACTCACCCTGTTTCAGTGTGCTGGTCGCTTGCTTGGTGCGGTATGTAGTTCTCATCTCGCACTGGTCCCTTCTTTTTCTTCTTAGATTTAACAGCAGTGACGATATCATCAAGTTTACCTTCGGCCTGGAAAAAAACAGGGTTTTTGTTATTTTTTTATGTATTGATGTTCCTAATATTGTAAAATTTACGACTTTCGACAATGAATGAAAATGTGTTTTTAAATTAAAATCAGTGGGTAGTTGACTAAGGTTGTACTTACTAAGTTATAGGAACTTTTTGGCGATGAGTGAAGTTGTATTATTTGTTTTATTTTGTCTATTTAGTGTTTCTTCAGGTTTAAATGTGTAATAACGGTGGTTTAATAACTGTTTAGTATCTGTGAAAGTGCACAAATGTGGGAAAATGAAACAAAGCCGCTGGACGTAACTTCTCGGGATCCCCCAAAAAGTCCACTGAAAAAGTCTCAGTAAACGACCACCATTTTACTGAGATTATATTTCATCCCATATCATCTCATCTCATTTCATTGCATTTCATATTAATCAACTTCGTTTCATTTCTTAATATCATTTTTCATATAAAAAAGGTTTCAGTAAAATAAAATAAGGCTTGACCTAAAGTTCTTAGTTAGCAGGTCATAAAATCTCTTAAAAAAAATGACCAAGATATTTATCACACTACGATTATAAACGCGAAACTGAATTTGGTTACACTTTGACGTTTTAACTGCAAAATTTCATGACCCTGAGAATACACAAGGAAAGTAGGTATAATTTTTTCTATACTATTATGAGTGAAAAATATTAAAATAAATATGAATACAGTTTATACCATAAGCATTTGTCCTAAAGCGGGCTTTTATATATTTTACAGTGGCTGTGCAGAATGGTGAAACAAACGTTGGTATAGATCTGTGTCCTGCATTCAATTAAAACGCTGATAAGTTATTGATTTCTGAACAGAATTTAATGTCATTTTCTTTCATGACACACATTAATGTTTACCTTCTATTTGAGAATTAAAACATTAGACAGCACTCGGATTAGGAAACATACATAATTTAGTTACACGAGCATTTTAATTTATTCATTGTATGTACCAATTTTTTTTTAGTTTTATTTATTTAACAAATCATATTTTTGATGTATGTAGGAGGAAGTCCGAAAGTGGCACCTGTAACAGAGAAGCTGAGAAGTGCGCGTTTGGCATGGTATGGACATGTGACGAGACGAAATGAAAATGAGATTGGTAAGAGAGTGTTAACTATGAATATGGAAGGATATAGAGGAAGAGGTAGGCCTAAGAAGAAATGCATGGATTGCGTAAAAGACGATATGTGTAAGAGAGGAGTGAGCGAAGAAATGGTATATGATAGAGGAGTGTGGAAGGAGAAAACATGTTGAGCCGATCCCAGGTGACTGGGAGAAGAGCAGGAGAATAATGATGATATTTTTATAATAAATGAACTTTATTCAATATTTACCTGTAGCTTTTTGTTTTGTCTCGTCTTCTCGACAGTTCTGCCGTGTGCGAGCTTCTTGGCTTTCATCGCCAAATACATCGGTGAATCGTTTTTAGCCGACAACTCCAATATTGTCTGTGAATTAACAACATATCTATCTAGTATTTTTTACATCATCCGTCTTTTTTTTTTCCTACCTAAACTGATGGTATAGAGAGACCATATCAGCGTAACCTTAACTAGTAGGTGAGCTCACGGGGCTCAAACCTGATGTTGTTGCTAACACGAACCCTAGCAAGAGCCGTGCTTCGCAGAATCTACCACCGGATCGGACACGCGACCCACTGAGAAGATCCGGCGAGAAACTCAGCGGGCATCAAGAAAACTGTAATGTATTCGAAAGATCGGAAATAATATTTAAAAAAATGCAAGATTAAACAGTGACATTAATTTTAATTATATATATATTATGTAGGCAAAAAATATATGAATTTACGGTCGCGCCATCATGTGCCGCTTCTGTCGCAGCAAGGATAACAAATTACAATCAAAACCTCCAAGCTTTTTTTTTTCTTAGCCAAGATTCGTTAATTAAGTTTTGTTAAATGATTGTGATACACTTTGACATATATATTTTTTTATTGCTTAGATGGATGTACGAGCTCACACCCCACCTGATGTTAAGTGGTTACTGGAGCCCATAAACATCCACAACGTAAATGCGCCACCCACCTTGAGATATAAGTTCTAAGGTCTCAAGTATAGTTACAACGGCTGCCCCACCCGTCAAATCGAAACGCATTACTGCTTCACGGCAGAAATAGGCAGGGTGGTGGTACCTACCCGTGCGGACTCATTAGAGGTTCTACCACCAGTAATTACGCAAATTATAATTTTTCGGATTTGATTTTTATTGCACGATGTTACTCCTTCACCGTGGAAGTCAATCGTGAACATTTATTAAGTACGTATTTCATTACAAAAATTGGTACCCGCCGACGGGATTCGAACACCGGTGCATCGCTCGATATGAATGCACCGGACGTCGTATCCTTTAGGCCACGACGTCTTTGACAATGATTGTGATACACATGACACAGACATGAGTTTGAAGTCTCAATTGAGTTGAAAACAATAATAGTTTGATGTAAAGACTCACCCCTTTAGGTGTGTAGTTCTTGATCTGATCCACGAGTACCGCGGCGGAGTCCGGGGCGCCGTCGGTGAGGAAGGGGTGCGGCTGCGTGGGCGCTTCGGTCAGCTTGGCGCGCCTGTTGCCCTCCGCGGAGGCCGCCTCGCGCCACCGCACGTACTGCTGCAGTCCACGGGCGCACGTACGAGCCGCCTCCTCCTGTTTTCATTTATATAATCGTTCTAACATGAAAATCATCATTAACTTATTTAGCCGAAATCCAATAGTATTTTCTCTGATATATAATCAAGGGTGAGAACAAAGGATCATCTGAGTCGACTATTATCAAAGCCGGCAATCTGACTTTTGGACAATGATTGGTAAATCAGAAAAACGAATTATTAACCTTGTATTCCATTGGCAGTCACAAAACTCTTCGGAACGACATCTTAGATAAATAACAGGTTAACTATTAACCTTTATTTAATGCAGGTTTTGAACCGTATTCTTTGAAGGAGACAATTATATTCAAATCAATCTGTATTGACATATCAATAAAAAACTTTTGTCCAAATGCACAGATTGCCACCTTTGATAATAGACGACTCATCTATACTAATATATAAATCTACAGTGGTTTTTACGGATGTTCCATTATAACTACTGAACCGTGCATCCGATTGACTTGAAACTTGGTATTCATGTAGAAAATACATGTACATAATGGATAGGCTAATATTTATATGAGCGTTGGACTCCCTACACCAATTGCGGGGGCGTTAATGATGAGAATCTTTGTGAGGGTGAGAAATAATAATGTTAATTTTAAATGCCTTAATCTTAAATGAAAAAAAAAACAAACGAATCTATCAACCATCAATTTGTAAATTATAAGATGTTATTGTGTTTTATTAATAACTAGCGACCCGCCCTCGTTTCGCTTACGAAAACTGTAATTTATTATTGATTTCTCCACTATTTAATGGATTTTATTACACATATAAACCTTCCTCTTCAATCACTCGTATATATTGAAAGAAACCGCATCAAAATCCGTTGCGTAGTTTTAAAGATTTAAGCATACATAGGCACAGACAGATATAGGGGCAGAGAAAGCGACTTTGTTTTATACTAAAGCATAATGAACCGTGAGGAGTTAGTTACTGGTGGTAGGACCTCTTGTGAGTCCGCACGGGTGGGTACCACCGCCCCGCCTATTTCTGCCGTGAAGCAGTAATGCGTTTCGGTTTGAAGGGTGGGGCAGCCGTTGTGACTATACTGAGACCTTAGAACTATATCTCAAGGTGTGTGGCGCATTTACGTTGTAGATGTCTATGGGCTCCAGTAACCACTTAACACCAGGTGGGCTGTGAGCTCGTCCACACATACAAGCAATAAAAAAAAAAAAAAAAACACAAAGCAGGGGTGAGAAGACAGAAATATTTCTTTTTTAATTGTCACTGTAACGCAGCGTTCCGTTTCGCGGGGCAACAGTAGCCAAAGGGATCGTGACTCAGGTCCGTGCCGCGACGACCCACCCCGCGCATCTATTGCACCATTTGCACCACCAATTTTTTTTAAGGGATTTTATGACCTGGTAACTGAGACCTTTAAGTCATGTCTTATTTTAATTTATATTCATATTTTTATTAAAAATGATATTATGGAGTGAAATGAAATGAAGATGATTAATTTGAGACATTAATCAACTGGGATGAAATGAAATGAGATGATATGGGATGAAATATTATCTCAGTAAAATGGTGGTCATTCACTAAGATTTTTTCAGTGGACTTTTTGGAGGATCCCGAGAAATTACGTCCAGCGGCTTTGTTTCATTTTCCCACATTTGTGCACTTTCACAGATATTAAACAGTTAATAAACCACCATTATTACACATTTAAACCCGAAGAAACACTAAATAGACAAAATAAAACAAATCACAAAACTTCACTCCTCGCGTTCCCGCCAAAAAGTCCGCACCCCCAATTAGTGCGCGCCAGACCATAGATTATACACTTAATATATTTGAGACGCCAGACTCTGAAGCGGCAAGCACGCGTTCCCGGTTGATACCGGAACTGACAACCCGAGAGTCTCATGCCAGTCGGGCACCCAACATTAAATCACAATAAAAAACGCTTCAAATACAAGATACGTACAATTTCAGAGTAGTTCTTCTCCCAGGCCATAACGTCCTGATGTCGAAGTTCCAGCTGTTCTGCGGGCAACGCCCCCCACACTCCGCTGGCGCAGGCGGCCCCCCGCCCCGCGCTCTCGTCCACTCTCCCCAGCGTGGTGCCCAAGAACAGCTGCAGATCCAACAAGTGGGCCACGTCTTCCGCCGCCACCAGGGAGAAGGCCCGACCCGCTCGACCCGCTCTGGCACTGCGACCTAAGTGTCAGACAATTTTACATTTGTCACTAATCAAAATGAGCTGATAACAAAACGTGATAAATGCGAAATTTAGAAAAATAAAATAAGGATTGTGCGGTTTTATGAAACCACGGTAAAAGTGAAACTTTTTTTCACATCATAGACATTTAACTCTAAGGCTTATTACACTTGGCTAAATTTAGTCGCCTGAATTCAGAAGCAAATTTAGAAGCTTCTGATTACACTGTTCTGAATTCAGTTACTGAATCAATTGTCAGTTTAAGCACGACGAAGTTGGACGTGTCGTGTGTGTACGAGGATGGCCCCAGTATTGTCTAGACAACAAAAAATTGGTCTTGGCGTAGACGTCGCAGACGGCACAATTGAAAAAATATATATATATGCGTGAAGAAATATTTATTGCTCCGCGGAAAGATAGCAAATATGAACATTATGAGTGATTTAGAACCAGCAGACTTCAGAAATTATCTACGAATGGATTCCAGATCGTTTGACCTAATATTAAGCCTTGTGACACCGTTTATTCAAAAAAGCAGGATATTATCCTACGATACTACGATAGTCTATTATATATTTAACTATTACATATCTAATCCTACGATAATATAAGTCCAAAAGAAAGGTTGGTGGTAACATTAAGATTTCTTGGAACAGGAAATTCGTATCAAGATTTAAAATTTAGTTCTTTAATATCCCAACCCCTGCTGACAAAAATTATCCCTGAAACATGTCGGGCTATTTATAAATGTCTGTCACATTAAACAAAGGCGACTGAAATAAAGAGCCATTTCGTTCTTCTTTTCTGTTCATAGGAACAGTATAAAATCATATCATTGAAAGCATTAGGTACTCACCAACTCTGTGGACGAAGAGTTTGGGTTTCGCCGGAAAGTTGTAATTAATGACTGTATCCAATGCAGGTAAGTCTAGACCTCTGGCTGCCACATCCGTTACTATTAGAACAGAACACTTCTTATTGGTAAACCGTCCTAGAGCTATCTTACGGGCTGACGGATCCAGGCCTGAATACGCATATGTTGAACTTATACCGGCTTGTTGTAGAATCTAAAACAATTATTAATCATTATTAAACTTGATTATAGACACGACTATATTATTTCAAACAACATTTACATGACTAAAGAACAGGCACTCCAGTTCTGAACCTTATTCATTGTTATTAGACTTATTGACTTAATTTACAGCTCTGGCCTGTTTGAAACAACATTCAGGGTCATTCCAAAGCAATGGACTTTCACTTATTGGTGTTGTATGAATTTTTGCATTCCTGGGTTGAAGCAACCAACCAACCGCGGAGACCGGCGTCGTTGGTCGTCGACTATCGCCTCGACGACCCGTCGGTCGGGCGTCCTCGGGGTGGCGCCGCGTGTCTTGTTGTAGTGTTGACCGCGGGAAACCCCCTACTCTGACCGGGTTTGCCCCGAACGGAGATCGGATGTTGGGTGTAAGAGTGCAGGGGAGTCGTTTAGTGGGTAGGGCCCTAAAATTCCTTGGGCCCGCGGTCTGCTCCCAGCACCTTGGAGATCCCCACATCATACACCGCGCGCCCCCTAGGCGCGGGGACCTCGTAGGAAATTCGGCCCCGACCCGAAAAAAAAAAGAAACCCAACCCATTCTCAGTATTTTACTTGTTTAATTTCGTTTTAACTAAAGCAAATAATTGTAATGTGTTTAATTCCAGGACTTCGCTTCTGTTTTTTAATTGTTTCTTAGTTTAATAGATTGGATTTTGATAATTTTCTTAAGACTGAAATTTCTACCACTTAGTATTGTATCGAGAATATTCTGGTATTGTGAAGGAATTAAGTAAAGTCAGGAACAATTGAGTAGTTCTAGTATGATCCCATGACTGGCAAATATGGCTTGACAAAAATAGGTTACCTAAAAAATTATGACACTAAACTTATTGGCATTTATTTGATCCAGGGTTTTATTTGGGTGATTCTTTTTAAATGTGAATATTCTGTGTTGATATAGTGTTTTAATGAAACAAAATGGCAGTAGACACTTACCAAATGTAAATACTCAACATGATGTTTCGTAGCAGCAAAGACAACTGCTTGGGGTGTTGTTGGAGTTAATACTTTGTCTAATAGAATCAACAGGGCTGCCGTTTTCAATTCAGCCCTCACTGATATCCATCCCAGCCATAATGTTGAAGGTAATTTCCAATCAACATCTAATCTTATCAAGGTGGGATCTGATAGTCCAGCCCTCGCAAATTCTACTAGCATTTTAGGTAGTGTTGCAGAGAATAATAACGTTTGACGACTAGAAGGGAGACGAGCACAGATCTCTTGTAATTGCTCACCGAAACCAAGCTCAAATAGTCGGTCAGCTTCATCAAAGACAACTATTTCTGTAAAGAAATAAGCTCATTAATAATAAACCAACTAATTGTTTTATTTTGTTAACAATAATAACTACCAAAGTGGTCAATAAAAATTATTAATTAATGAATGTGGGTAATGATGAAAAAAACTAAACTAATTAAACATTAAAATTAATAGTAAAACCGACATGGTTCCCCCATAAACTACTACAAGACTATAACTGTTTGTTTATGTACCTAAAGAATGGAGAAAGATATATTAATGTATACAACAGATATACTTTAAAATAACTTTAAACTAATGTAACTTTAATTAACTTTGTGTTTATAAAACAAAAAAAATATCACAATTTTGCTTTTGTATCTTTTTTTATTTTTTTTATTGCTTAGATGGGTAGACGACCGCTCACAGCCCACCTGGTGTTAAGTGGTTACTGGAGCCCATAGACATCCACAACGTAAATGCGCCACCCACCTTGAGATATAAGTTCTAAGGTCTCAGTATAGTTACGGCTGCCCCACCCTTCAAACCGAAACGCATTACTGCTTCACGGCAGAAATAGGCAGGGTGGTGGTACCCACACGCGCGGGCTCACAAGAGGTCCTACCACCAGTAAATATAAGTAATATATAAGTATTGACAAAACATCTATAGACATTTGTACAGTGCACCTGATGATGAGTGCATGGACATTAGGAATGCCAAAGGTACTGCTAAGCCCTGGCCTACCCCTAATGCTAAGATAGAGGTTGCCTTAACTACATTATAGTATTTTAAATATAATTACAGTTACTTTATTTCGACTTACTGATGTTGTCTAACTTTAAGCTCATCTCAATGCAGATGTGTAAGAAGCGCCCAGGTGTTGCAACAACTATGTCTGGAGAAGAGCCAGACATCACATTAAACTGCTGCTCAATGGACTCTCCACCAAGAATAGCTGCACTCGTTAATCCAGTGAATTTTCCCAGCTCCCTCACAAATCTTAATGTCTGTATAATTACAATTCTAGTTATAAAATTTCATTACTAAGAGTTTCTTAATTACTTTTATATGCATGAGATAAAAAAAAGCTATTTAAGGTATTTTGTTGTTTATCTGATTTTAGTAAAAAATTAATCTATTCCAGTAAATCTAAAGTAAAGTTTACCTGTAATGCGAGTTCTCTAGTTGGTGAGAGAATTAATGCCCTCAAATTCTTTCCAGGTGTAGGTTTGTTGTTCGGAACAAGAAGTTTCTCAAGGATTGGGAGGACAAAACAAGCTGTTTTGCCGGACCCAGTTCGGGCCATTGCAACAACATCTTTCCCAGTCAATGCTATTGGTATGGTCTGTAAATAGTTCACAAGGTAAAAAAGAATGGCTTTTTAAATTTCCTTCTTATGTATACATCATTTGCCTTTAAAAATAGACTGCCTTAACTCAATGCTAGTTTTTAACATTGTATTTTTTCATGACATATTTACTTATCATTACCTTACGTTGTATAGGTGTTGGTTGTTTGTATCCCCGTTTCGTAATTCCTTTTAAAACAGGAAAACTTAGGCCCATTGATTGAAAAGCACCCGAACTCTTCTTTTTCTTCTGGTTGTTTTTGGGTTCATTTTGAGGCTCATCTGCTTTAGGGGCATCGAAACCCGGCAGGTGATCATCTAATTCTTTAGGTTTTAACATTTTTATTAACTTAATTTCACCATGCTGTCTATAGGAATAATATTAGTACTAACACGCGAAACACTCAATATTTAATAACCTAACAATTTGACAATCGTGTACCGTCAATTGTCATTTGTCAGTACATTTTTTTATTTGCTTCGTCCATCAGACAGGCAAAGAAAGTTGAGCTGAAACAGTGAAAATTTTGCTAACAAAGGCCCATAACATAAAAATTTCTATGCAACAAAATTAAAATCGAATTACTTTTACGGTTTAATCTCGCGTATATTATTTAGAACGTTTTGAATATTTTACAATATTCGTCATGGACGATCACGACATAGTGAAAATCATCTAGTATTGAATGAGATGTAATGACATAATGTCACAGTAAACGGGGTTTTACTAGAACTAGGTCATCATTATCACAGGTGTCGTAAAACTGACTAATGGATTTAGTAGAATAAGGGAAACATCGTTCTCTAAGTATTATACCAGCGTACTACGATCGTCAATTGGCATTTGTTGTTGGTAGGGAATATTGTAAGCCGTGGACATGTACCACCCTGCGACTTACATTTATCACGACGAAGTTTTGAGTGTAATTTGAAGAGTGAGACATCTGATATACAAAACAAAGACGTCTCTGGTCTTTGTAGCGTCCCTGGGTAATAATTACCGTAGTAATAACTATGGCACACGGATGCCACATAGGCTAGAGATGGCTTTGCACACCTTGCACTATAGGTAAAGCCGTCTATGATATTTATTATACATAGTACTAGCGACCCACCCTCACTTCGGTTCGGGAACTGTAATTTATTATTGATCTTATTGAATTTTCTATCTTCATCTTTCATAATATCGCGTATTCGGTTATTATACTATAAATAAACTATTCAAATATATATTTTTTTCTTACATGGGTGGACGAGCTCACAGCCCACCTGGTGTTAAGTGGTTACTGAGGCCCATAGACATCTACAACGTAAATGCGCCACCCACCTTGAGATATAAGGTCTAAGGTCTCAGTATAGTTACAACGGCTGCCCCAGTCTTCAAACCGAAACTCATTACTGCTTCACGGTAGAAATAGGCAGGGTGGTGGCACCTACCCGTGCGGACTCACAAAGACAAAGATAAATTATAACTACTTTAAATACCAGATACGATAAAAGTATTAATTTTGAAGGATCAATTTGTTACTACTACCAAATGTGCGTTAGAAATAAATTATCAATTTTTATTGTATACTAGCGACCCGCCCTCGCTTCGCTTCGGAAACATAAAATTTTATTATTGATAGGCGAGTCCCGCCATGTTGCACGCGGTACGACAATAACTGCGGGTGACGCAGCGGGGCGAAGCTAGTCTAAAAAAGCCTAAGTTACTCCTTATATCATCAGCTACCTATTAGTGAAAGTCTCATCAAAATCGGTCCAGCCGTTCCAGAGATTAGCTGGAACAAACAGACAGACAGACAGACAGACAGAAAAACAACCAGACAGACAGACAGACAAAAATTGTAAAAAATGTGATTTTGGTGAATGTACCGTACATATATTTATATGCATGTAGTAAAAAGCGGTTATTTCAATATTACAAACAGACACTCTAATTTTATTTATATGTATAGATGTATAGATATATGGTTTACTATTTTGGCGATAATGTCTTACCTACACATAAAAGATAGATATATGCTGTCGCGGGCTTTTTTATACGATTAATTAAGATAAAAATTTCCATTTTACACTAAATCGTGTAACTCCAACGGTTTTTGCGTCGCACGCCAGAATAGGTCGCAAGTGGCAGAGTTTTATCCTACTTAGTTGAGACTTATCGTTATATTTTGGGTAATTCAGACTATATCTATATAAATTATAGCCTATGTGTTATTCTGATGTATAACTTATATTGTTGTAAAGTTTCACCAAAATCCATTCAGTAGTATGGATGTATTTGCAGGGCCGGATTTAAACTTAATGCCGCTCCTGGACAACGGAAAAAATCCGCCCTAATACTGGAATTTTACCTAAACTTATAGCTTATGTATTTTATTTTTCATAATAAAAATAACTAGTTTATTGCAGAAGCATTATCATAATATGTTATATATTCCAAAAACAGAAATAAATTAAAAAAAATTTTTCCTAACAAATATAAATTTTGACTAAGGGTGACTCATAATTATATTACATAAAAAACTAATTAAATTTCTTTAATTACAGAAAAAGAAAAATCGATTATTATTTTAATTCTCCAAAGAAATGAATTAATTAAATCATTTTGATTATTAATTTTTACCAAAAGTGCCAAACTTTAAATTCACAAATAATGGATGAAATGAATTTCTTGAATTATCAATTAAAAAGAAAATAATGAATTATTAGAATTAATTAGTTATATTGAGCAATCTTGATAAGACTAAAAAAATATATTTTACTTTCAAAATTTTGCCACCCTAAAAAACTTGCCCCGACTGCCCCTAGTGTAAATCCACCATTGAGTATTTGCGTGAAAGAGTAAGAAATATATACATCCATACATTATTACATATTTTCGCGTTTATAATATTTGTAGGATTAGTAGGATATAATTGAATAACTAATTAATTTAGATATTCACAGAGAAGAGTTAGTTTGATCGTTCAATATTACTTACCTGTGTGGTTTGTGGCAAAGACATACATTACGTAGGTTCGATAGCTATGTTCGTGGAATTCGAAATTATACCTACCGCAAATCATAAATTACGAGTAACTTTTCAAGGTTTAATAACAAATGTGTATACATTTAAAAAACCCAGTATGATAAATTGTTACTTCTAGATAACATCGTCATGCGGTCCAGGCTGTGCAGGTGTGAATAATACCGTCAACACTTCGTGGAAACTGAATTTTAAATAACAATATAATAGAAACAAAATAAGTATGATACACAATTTTAGCAAAAAAGATGATCAGCTAAGTGAATGTATATAATTTAATGTAGTATTTTTGTAAAATTATCATTTAATATAATAATTTAGTCGAAGTCAATTAAATGAGCATTATTAGGGCTATTTTTTTTTTATTGCTTATATTGGTGAACGAGCTCACAGCCCACCTGGTGTTAAGTTGTTACTGGAGCCCATACACATCTATAACGTAAATGCGCCACCCACCTTGAGATATAAGTTCTAAGGTCTCACTATTGTTACAACGGCTGCCCCGCCCTTCACGCCGAAACGCATTACTGCTTCACGGCAGAATTAGGCGGGGTGGTGGTACCTACCTGTGCGGACTCACAAGAGGTCCTAGCACGAAATTCAGACGAGTCTTACGGTGAGTACTTAGCGACTTGGCTCTGCCCCTGGCATTACTGACATTCATGAGCGTAATTACCCCAATTAATAATTACTATCAGATGAGTCGTATGTTTGTCTCGTCTGGCTAGGGCAATAAATATAAAACGGCCAGTATTAATAGTTCTAATTCAAGCTTACATGCCCTACCATTAGCACTTCATATAATATTTAGAGCGAGAGTTGGGTAGGAAAATCAGACGAGGAAATCCTACTGCGAGTGAATGACTTTTTATTTGGGTCAGAAAGCATTTGAAGGATTACCAGCCTAAGCGCTTGGGCGGAATATTTTGTAGTCGTTCGAACTAGAACCCAATGTCTTAATGCTTAACAACTCGCATTTGATTCTATGTTGAGACACAATACACATGAGAAGGATTAATAAGCCATTACTTTGGTGAAATAGGATGGTGTGGGACTAAGCCAAAATCAAAAGGCTCTTTATTTAAGTAGGCTCTTTTTTACCAACATATTTATAAATCGACCGGTAGTTTATAAACAAGAGTGTGACACAAACAACTCTCGATACCGAGGAAATGCAACGTGTTTCATTATGTCTGAATTACAAATTGTATATGGTCAAAGCCGCGGGGCACGTCTGTTAATTAATGAATAAATGCTCCACATTCAAAGACCCCAGTGGAGTAATCTACATTATGTATGCCGGAAACGCATACGTTACAAGAACAAGTACACTCAGATTACGAATAAATTTCGTTATTTTTAACAAAGATACTGACTGCAACCGAGGATCGATCTATCCTCGGGGTGATTATGTTAGAATTGCCAACTTTTTTTTTCCTACCTAGGCTGATAGCCTTGAGCGGCTATTTCAGCGTAACCTTAACTAGTAGGTGAGCTCGCGGGGCTCAAACCTGACGACGTTGCTAACACGAACCCTAGCAAGAGCCGTGCTTCGCAGAATCTATCACTGGATCGGAAACGCGACTCACTGAGAAGATCCGGCAAGAAACTCAGTGGGCTGTGTCTGTGGGTTAATTTGCTTGTCGAGCCCTTCGTCGCAAGCGACGGGTTCGACGAGAACGGTGACCGGTGCTCGAGGTACCTAAAAGCACCGTTAGTGGATCGGTAGGATCCGAAATGACGTGTTTATGGCGACGTAGACTGCTTTCCATTCTGTCCGCTGACTCTAAGTCCAGGTCGTCATGGAGGTCGACGTTCCTGACGAACCACGGGGCTCCGACGGCTATCCTGCAAAAACGGGATTGAATAGCTTGGAGTGATTTTAAGTCAGTGCGGGCCGCGTGAGCGAACACTTCACTTGCATAGGTCATGACGGGGCGCATGCAAGTTTTGTAGAGTGTCACCTTATTTCTAAGGGACAATTTATTTCGCCTGCAAATCACCGGGTAGTTGCCAACCCTTACACGATCGGCCATACAAAAATGTGTGGTAATATACTACTATAGTATAATACTTAGGTATTGTTTACAAACCCATGATTTCGATTTGTGTTCATGATTTGCATACTTCACTAACACGTGATATAACGATAAATAAAGAGTAATTATCATATTAATCATGTTTAAGACACAGTTGAAATAAACGCTGAAGGTGAACATGGTTAATTTTAAACGTCACTTTGAAACGCCTTTCCTGATTTCCTAAAAGTTTCACTCAATATCCGTAACTAAATTGATTCTCAGAAGAAGAAAAAAAACGGGCAGACATATTTGTCTATGTTTGTGACGTAAATATAATTCAACGGTCTTCATTAATAATAGTTGCCC